TGAATCCTTTTGCTTAATGAATGAATGAATGCAGGCTGTTACACAATGTGATCTTTTCTGTTTGTACTTTGCAGCAATTGTGATTTCTGTCTCATGCCTTATATGAGGATGTGACGAGTTGGAAAAAATGCAAACAATGTTTTGACTAAGTTTGTCGTTTTCTCCCTCTGAAGTAATAGATTATTGGGTAATTGGCACCAAACTTCATTGACCTTCTTTTATCTCTGTATATTAATATAAACATTTATTTATTATTGTTTCTTTAAAAAAAACAGTCGAGACCTGACATAGCTATAATGCAAATACATACAAAACCTATGCATACAAGTGCTTAACAAATAAAAAACAATAGAAAAAGAAAGTAAAGTGTAATATACTATTGTAGCAATTAATAGTTGCAATTCTATAGATTTATCTAATATAAATATTAAAGTACAATTTACTTTAATATTACATTTATATAATTTTATATTACATTTATATAAATTTCTTTTTTTAACCCATTGTATTTTATATAAATGAATTCTATATTTTATTTCACTTGCTCACACAAAATCGATACCTATAGGCAGTCTGCTGTCAGGTGGCAAATATAATTAAATCTTCAATCCATAGAGTGAATGGAGACATATATTTATATTTCTAAAGTTGGGGTGTCAGTCTTTTAGCCATAGTAAGGGCACGTACATTCCATTTATGCTGTCCACTTATCAAATGTATAAAAAGAATGGAAAGTAGAAAATTGACAGATAACAGATAAATGGTTAATAATAACAACTCTATGGTGCATTTTTCTTTTAGCCCTAATATTCTGTAAGTTGTATATTGTTTTTCCATGAAAAGATCCATGGAATCTGATGTGATCATAACTTTGGGTCTTCTTCCACCTGCAGTATTCTTGTGTCATGGTTTGTTCAGTTTTTATTTAGTGCACAGCATTGAACAAACCAAATTATTGTGGTTTAATTAATATAGCATAGATAAGCAAACTACAGGACTGAGTTGCATGTGCCAAATTATTCTTGAGGTTTAACCACTTCTTGTAGAGGATGGTTCTTGTGCATCATGATTATTGTCTTGTCCAAATACAATTTTTAATCAGTCATAATAAAATCTGTAATTTCAATAGACAAATCAGTCATCAATAGATATATAGAGATAAACCATATTTACATACAATTGAAAAGAAACAGTAAAAAAGTTAAAAAGAAATCAAAAGGGCAGAACACACCCTCTCCAGAATCTATACTCGTATAAGAGAATTAATATTAGACACAGTAGCAAGCAGGCAGAAAACTACTCTAATTAAGACACTCTTAAGGAGAAAATACATACCCCTACCAACACTGACAGGGCAAGCTACTGTATATAAACAGGGAGAAATCCTAAATTCAGTAGCACTGATGATGTTACCTGCTCAAGGTAATGAAATGTTTACAAGCAAACAAGCAGCAAATAACCAAAGAGCACTAAGAACTCCATAATCTGTAATTTGTACAGTAAATTATAAAACCAAATGAACATGTCCTGCAATTCACTTAAAGAAACTTTATGGAGTAAACTTGCTTTTGAATTTGCTTTGACAAGCAAACCAAGTATCACAAGCATGTCACTTGACATCCTTTTAATGTTTTCTTTGCATAAAGATGAATAATTGCCACATAATTACTTATATTTCCTATGTAGATAGTGTTGTGTCTACATGCAAATTGTCACTGACTGAGAAATCTGGTCAAGCAATTATCTCTGAAGAAATATCACAATTGCTCTGTGCAGCCACTTAATTAAAATATTGCATTGTGCTTTTTTAATCAGCAGCTTCTTAGTTTACATTTATTTGATACTGTGGCTAAAATGGGACCATTTTAACCTTTAATGGCTGATATTATTAACTACTGCTTTTCAAAAATTGGTTCTTAGGCTAATGAGTGAAAAGAAATAAATATGATTCTGGATAGATAAGGATGGGATGAAACAACCAGTGACTGTATTTGAACAACAGATTTAGCCTCTACAGTATTGTTCACTATAGCTTCTTACCTCCACACCTCCATAATAATTGCACTGACTAAGGCAACTTCAGTGAAAGAAATAACAGCAGAAGTCAAGCTGAACTTGAAGAGTTCATACAACAAAAAGCCAAAGGGGAACAAAATAGTAATAATAATGATGATGATGATATACAATTTATTGACATCATGGTAACAGGAGATGCCAGGGTCAAAGAAAAAGAACTAGAAAAAAACACAACCTAGCCATCGAAATTACCCAATTATGGATGAAATATGTAACAGTGATACCCATTGTCATCGGGGCACTTGGTGCCATGTCCAAGAATTTTGCAAAACACATCAAGAAATTTCAGCTTCCTGCAATAACACCAGCAGAACTGCAAAAAACTGCACTACTCGGAACATCTTATATTTTAAGAAGGTACTTGGTTGATACCTAGGGCGCTGGCAGCAACCCGTATCAACCATTAGCACCAGTCAATGGTATTTGTGATGCATTTTTGAATGTTCAGTTGACTGAGTTTGATGTTTAATGAATAAAGTATAATATAATAAATACCAGATATCACAGTTGTAAAGAGCCAAAGCATATAGTTTATTGATATCGCTGTATCAGGAGACGCCATAGTCAAAGCAAAAGAACTGGAAAAAAATCATAAAATATCATGATCTGGCCATCGAAACTAAACAGATATGGATGAAACATGTAACAGTGATACCCATTGTCATTGGGGCATTTGGTACCATGTCCAAGAATTTGGCAAAACACATCAAGAAATTGCAGCTTCCTGCAATAACTCGAGTGGAACTGCAAAAAACTGTGCTACTCAGAACATCATATATTTCAAGAAGATACTTGGTTGATACCTAGGATGCTGGCAGAAAACCGTATCAACCATTAGTACCAGTCGCTGGTATTTGTCATGCATTTTTGAATGTTCAGTTGGCTGAGTTCCATGTTTAATGAATAAAGTATATAATAATAATGTGGGATAAAAATGTTGTAAATAAATAAATTAATGCTTAGTGCACTCTGTGAACCCAAGACTAGAAAGTGACTTTTCATTAAGAAACTATTAGCCTAGTCCAGGAAGGACGGCTTCTAGCCATTTTTTTGAGCCAATGGTTATTTATGCAAAGACCAGTTTTTCCTGCCTTCCTGGAGGAACTAGGAAAATTCTGCAGGTGTTTTGCTACTATTCTCTGATCCCTCCCTGTAATTACCTCACACGGAGAGAATGTAAGCCTTGTAATTAAATTAATAATAAAGGAAAGTGGTATAAATAGAAGAGATCAGTTGTCCAGATTTTTTGTAGCCCAGTTTGGCTGCTCCTGCTCCACAAAGCCCCACCTTTCGGTAAATGGCAGGTCTCCACTGGGCCCAATTTCATAGATGGATAAAGAAATCCCAGCACATGTATTCCTACTGCATCTTCACCGGACACCTTGGTTAAGAGATTGTGGTCTGACAAACATCCTGATAAAAATTGGGACAAAAGTTCTATTAAATAATGAATTTGCACTGAGATATATGTGATAGCAATAAAGATGGAAAATTAGTTGGAAGAACTTCTTTGATTTTGTAAAATAATTTGACTTATAAAATTGTACATGAGAGATCTCCTGCTAATCTTAATCCCAAATATTATTCTGAAAGTCTAAAGCAGTTGCAATATTTAGTTTGAAGGGAGGGAATGTAGGTGGTCCTTGATTTACAACTTCAGTTTAGTGACTAAAGTTCCAATGTTGAAAAAGTGACTTATGACCATTTTTCACAAGACTGTTGCAGCATCCCCATGGTCACAGCATGTATTTATGATGGCTGTAATGTCTCAGGATGTGATCATAAGGTTGCAAGCAAACAAGTAAATGGGGAAGTCAGACTCATTTAACAGGTGACTAACAACAATGGCAGTGATTCACCTAACTGTGGAAAGGTCATAAAATGGGAAAATCGCACCTAATAAATGTCTCACTTAACAACAGAAATTTTAGGCTTAATTGTGGTCATAAGTCAAGGTCTACTAGTACTATAGAGAACGTTACCTCTTAATATCTATTTATTTGCTAATCATATATAAAACACCAATCCTTTTATGGTATGTGGGACATGAGTACATATGTATTTTTGTTCATCAAACATAGGAACAAAATCAATTTGGACTCTTTCCACTTTTGTACTTCTGATGGCTCATGGTGCTTACACACGCAAAAAAAGAGAGAGACAAAATACATGTTTAAAATTCCAAAGAAAATTTAATTGAGTTTAGGACTACAGCCTAATTTTCTATCTTGAATAAAGTTAATTGTATTTCTAATCCATTTTCCTATTGCCTTACAAAACGTTGCAATTTGTGGTTAGCGAAAAGTGCTCTATTCACTTCAATAAACTGATCTCCTCCTTGGAAATAAGTACCATCTTTAAAGCGCTGACATCTCACTGATAGTGACCTTTTTTATCAGTTTGAGCTCTTTGTCACAGTGATCAAAATGGCAAAAAAAAAAACCAAACCCCTAAGTAGAGAGAATCTTCAAACAACCTGATTTATTACAGTACTGCACAGCAATCCTGACCCATAATAAAAAAAATACAAATTAAATATTGAGCAAGAATACAGGCTAATCAGAGAGACAAAGAAAACAAATTGTCTGCGCTCTGAAAAAGGGTGTGAAGCAGGAAAGAAAGAAAAAAATCTCTAGTCACTGTATCAATTAAATCAGTACAGATTTAATTACAGGACACGCAAAATGAAATCCTTTCACTTGATGATCCCAGTGCTGCCAAATTCCCCCCTTTCGGAATTCGACTAAAATATCCTCTCCCCTCTTTTTTTGGTAATTAGGGAAATCCTAACACAATAAAAGTTCTGAAATCTCATGTTTTCGTTACACGCCTCATTTCTTGGGGTGAGACGGGGCGTCTGTACGCAGAGGAAGCGGAACAATAGAGCCAACGAAACCCGCACGGTGGACTGGTTTCTGACTAACTCTTTTAGGATTGCGCAAGTCTGGCTATAATTCTCGGGAAAAAAGCCTCGCCGAATTTCTTCGGGGCCGATCGCAGAACCACCAATTCTGAGCGTTGAAAGGTAAAAGCGTGAACAAAAGTATTTCAAATCCCGGATCAGAGAGGAAATAGAAGTAAGTGAGTGAAACATGTTGGAGCCTGAACTCTTCCCCGTGGAATGGAATGTTGCTTTTTGTGAGAAGATTCTTCAGCACGCTGGAATTTAAAAAGGAAAAATAAATCGGGCTTCTCTCTTTTTTAAAATGATTTTAAAAGTTCTTTGCACATTTCTCCTGTCATTTTTTCCCCTATTTTCCTTTTTGTCCTTTTTTTTTAAACAAAAAAAAAAATCTACAATGGAGTTTCCTATTGGATAGCCTAGGATCCCTGATTGATGGCCGCCTCCCATTGGATCTGTGCGGGAGCTGACATCACCTCGGGAAAGAGGGGCTGGGCAGGACGCTCCGTGTTGTCGCCGCCCGCCTCCTCTGCCTTTGGCTGGGTGCAACTTCCATTTTAGGTGTTGGAACTGAGCAAGGGGGGGTTGGGGGTGGGGGGAGCAGCGAAAGATCCCGCAGGAAAAAAAAGAGAGAGAAAAGGAGGGAGGGGGGAGAAGGAGGAGGAGGGAAGCTTCACGAGATCCTTACTGCTTTCCTCCGTCTTTTGTCCGTGAGATTTTAAAGCTCTCGCCGATCAGAGATTTTTATCCTTAAGATTCCTTAGCGCTTTGTTAGGAAACCGCACGCTTATCTTCTTCTTTTTCCCCTCCTCCTCCTTTGCATTTGCAGAAGGACGACGGGACACCTAGTCCGGGGAGACTGCGAAGTTGTCAACTCGAATGATTAGGATAGACCTAGCGGAACAGTTGGGATCATCGTGGCACTCCAAAAAGAAAAGAAAAGTGCTTTCCTTCCTCTCCGTCGCCCTCGTCCCGATTTTGTTTTAAACCCTCCCAGGGGTGGAGGCGAAGCAAACTTGCTTCCCCAAGCAGCCGCGGAAGGGGGACCGCCAGATTCCCGGAGAGAGCAAAGCGAAGGGGGAAAAGCCCAAGGTAAGGGGATTTTGTAATAATAATTGCATCTGACTGCCTCTCTCCGCCGCCCGCCCGCCCCTCTTGCGCCTGACTTCTGATTGGGCACGGAAGATCCCCCCTCCCTATTTCGGGGGTCGATTCTCTTCGTTGCCCACCCGGGTGATCCCTCCCCCCTTTCTTTCTGTGTTGGGGGGGGCTAAGGGGAGGGAGCCAAGGAGTTCCCGGGAAGCGGATCGGCTTGGGTCTTCGGAGATCTTGCTGGGGAAAAAAGAAGGGAGCGGAGGAAAGAACGCGAGAGGGCAAAGATTGCATCGGCGTCGCCGTCCTACAGCGAAGGGCACAGTGCAGGGTGGATCCCGTTTCGCTTCTCCCAGGTGCCTTCGAGTGGGTTAGGGGGCTTCTCCTGCTTTTCGGAGCTGCTTTCCTGCTTCAAAGTAAGCTCCGTATCGAACCAGCAAAACTTTCCTCCTGGGTGGAAGCGTAATAAATTCCTCTTGAAAGGGTGGGGGGTGGGAGGGGAGTGGGCCTACCATCCGGCATTGGGAGGTAACGGGGGTGGGTGGGTTGTAAAGACTTGGATTTGCGCCGGGTTGTCGTCTCAAAGCAACGTAATTATTGGGGGGTATTAAAGTGCTTCTGTTTAAAACTCTGGAGAAGTTTTCCTTAGTTTGTGAATCTTGCAAATGCGTAAAGTCCCCAGGGGAGTTCTGAAGTGCCCATTTTACTTCAATTAAGTTAGACAAAGCTGCTTTAAAAAAACAACTCTGGAATGCCTTGCAAACTACCCAATGTTGGGTTATAGGTTTTTTTCCCCGTTAGTCCTGAAATCTGCGCAGGTGGGTCTCCTACAGTTGAAAGCACCAAAACCTTTGCTACCTGAATTGTTGAAGTTATGAGTAATTTAACTGCATTTCCTCCTACCCCTCCCATTTTGCCCCTCCCCTGCCTATTATGCTCTCCAAACGTACTTTTTCTTCTCTCCCCCCCCCCCCAGTTCTCATTTTTAAAAACGTGAATTCCTTGGGGCAGAGGCCAGGTTTTGGTGACTGCTAATTGTCATGTAGATTCACAGGGTGTGGCTATCATTTTAACTTATATGATTTCTGTGGTGGGACTTTCTATTAAAAGCTGCTAAAGAAAGCTGGTTTGGGGTCCTGTGGAAATTTAGTTACTAAACTAAAGATGTTAACAATAGTGTAAACACTTTTTGTAGCACATTGTACCTTACACAAATAACATGTTCAAAAGAGGACAGAGTTGAAATTTGGCCATTGAAGAAGAGGTAGCATTCCTCTATTGCCTATGTGCCATTTTACTGTTTCCATGTCCAGATATTCTGTGGAATTACGCTAGAAACCTTGCTTAGCCACCAAATGCCTAAGAAAGAGCCTTTTCTCTGAGAAAGCAGAACACAAAGGCACTTCAAAAAACAGGGGAGGAGCTTTCTTCCTTTGGGTTTAAACCAACACAGTGGCTTGTGGATTTAGTAGTTGCAAAACAGGATAATAATTTATCTAAAACCCTGAAAATCTTGGTTTTCTCCCAGTGTAAACACATACATGTTAAAGAAAATCATATTCTCCCCAAACACAAAGGAAGCATCAGATTGGCTAGTACCTAGGCAACTTTCCGTCTGATTCCCTTGAGATCTATTGCTAAACATTATACATTAATGATACGGGGCAGTGGCTTAGGGTTCAAGCCAGCCAGGTTCAAGTACCTATTAGAGTACATTCACTGGAGAACTGAGCAATGGTGTGAAACCCCTGATACTTTGGTCCAGAATTTCAAACTCTGGAAAATGAAGTGGTTGAGCTTGGTACATGTTTTCCTAAGGCAAAGGAGACTGATTCTAAACAAACTTTTGTATTTCTGGTGATGGCATTTTTGTGCCAGAAAGGAACCATGCCTGAGAGAAGAGTTAAAGCTTCATTTTATCTAAACAGGAAACCTGCCAAAAATCATTAATAAGATGATCCTTTTTTCATGCCTAAATTGTCTCTTCTTTCTGGTAAACCTTATGATATGGGAACTCTACATACAGTATTAAAGAAAGTAGCAGTTAAGTACTGTACATGCGAATATCTAAAATGTATGGGAGCTTTTCAGGAAGCAAAGTTCAGCTACTTATCTGAATGCTGAATTGCTGACTTACGTTATGGGGTGGGGCAGTTTACCTCCATTTTAAAGAGCCCTTGCTTCTTTGAAGGGCAGCAGTAAGTTCATGGTAGAGAAGCTGTCCTTCTGTATATTTTAAAAAATATTGAGCCAAGTTTTACAAAGATGATAGCAAACTGGAGAGCTGTAGTTTTCTTATTCTTTTTATATGCATCAAATTGCACATTGAGGGGAAAAACCTCAGCCACACAAATGCTTTGTGGTATGCTTCAGAGTCAGTATATTTGGCTGGAAGGCCAGTGAGCTAAAGTGTAAAGCTGTGTATTTATCACTTGCATATGGAACTGGGAAGTAAATCCAACTCTTTTTAGTGCATATGGATCTTCTGGGAGTCAGGTTTAGCAGGACACCCTACAAACTTTGGCTAGTTTTATTTCACATTAACTTTTTAACTCTCTAGGTCAGGGGTGTCAAACAGGCGGCCCGTGGGCCAGAATGCATCACACGCAGGCCGCACCCACCCCAGTTCCATGAAGGGAAAAAAGTCATGATATATTATGTGATGAGTTTGACACCCTTGCTCTAGGTTAAAACCACTTTGTTTCCCACATGAATTAAAATATCATCAGAACAAGTGCTGATATGACTAATTGAAAGGTCAGATCTGTTTAATAAATTGTGACATTCGTAGCAGGAGAAATAGAGAAACACACTGGCTTGGATTGACAAGTAAGTAAAATTAAGTGAATGGATTATGATTCTGTAATATGAACTCAGTAAACTAAGCTGCTTCCAATCATACTATAAAGTTGCTAAGTTGATAAGTGGCTTCCACATAGTTCAAAACAGTGGTCTGAATCTAGGCTTAATCATATGTAAAATAGATTGGGTGAAATCAGTAAGGCTTAATGTAGTCATAACTAACTTAATTACACAGGTTGCAGTAATTGAAATTGTTGGCTATTCTTCTAAGAACAATGAGAATTGATGTGTCTGGAGGGTGCCAAGCTGGAGAAGGTGAATTTAATACAAGTTGCCTGAAATGGGAGACCGTGTTTTGCTAGAAGGTAGCTTAGGTAAAAGAAGTGAAAATAACACAGGTTGGGTTTTTGCAGGTGTTTTAGCTAATGAATATAGTATGGCATTATAAGAAATGAAATATACTATGTTGGTTATTTTCACCAACATTTTTCAAAATGGAAAATTATTTCTGTTTAGGAATGAATGTGTTAAAACTAAAAACCTGGAGCAGAATATAATATAACTGGGGTTATTGGGGTTGCCTCTGTGAGGAGTGACAACATTACCACTGATGACTTATATAACACATTCATTCTTGAAACATAATTTAGGACCTTGTGAGATATTGGTCAATCAAGGGATTTCCGATTTATACTGAGTACTGCATATAGACGGGGTGGGTGACAGACTTATTCATTACCATCATCTGAGTCATTGAAGGGAGGACTGAGGTTAACTTTGTAAAGAAATATAAACTACAATGACTTTCCCTTGTAGTATAGGTTCCTATTTTATGGCCTTTATGCAACCACAAGAACTGAAGAAAGAGAAAGTGGACAAGCGAAGTCAGAAAGTACTGATAATGAAGAATAAGATTCTTCTGATTGATGGAAAAGAGAACATCCATGCATTCATGCAATTCTGAATTCATAGTTCCTGAAGTGTGCTTTGAAAAAAGAGGACAATCATTCAAGTTAATCAGTAGTTAATCTGCACTTGACTTGGATTTTGGAAGGTTCAGAAATGTGGAAATGTGCCTCTGTTTAATATAGTACTTTCAACATGGATTAATCAATGTATCTTTGCTTTCATTTCTAGTTATTCGGGGATATCAGGGAAGTAAAAATGGCCAGAATAATTCTAGAGGGAATTCTTCTCTTCACCACCTCTCAAACAGAGATAAGCAAGCTAGTGCTTTCCAGATGTTTTGGGCTACAACTGCCATGTTCACCTACCTATTTAGGTACTAAGTGGAGAATATGGGGATTTCAGTGCTCGCTAAAATAGTGGGCATTTTCCTTGCTTTACACATGGTAAATATATGGAAAGCATAGTTAGAATTGTGAAGGCTGCCTTGTCCAAACTGAGTTTGTCCTAATTGAATGAAAAACTGCCAGTGGTATTCTTTGCCATTGGAAAGGCCTCTCTCCTAACAGCAGCCTCTCCTGCTTTTGTGGCTACATAAGAGCTGGTCCTGTGACACACCCTTCTGCTGCTCTTCAACTGAGAGTTTCTGCCAGCACCCACAATCTCCAAACAAAGCCAAATGTAAAAACGAGGCTTACCAAACAACCTCATACAGTTTAATACAGTTCTTGTATCCTCTTCATGCAAAATAATAATAATAATAATAATAATAATAATAATAATCATCATCATCATCATCATCATCATCATCATCATCATCATCGTAACTTCTTTCCACTCTTTTATTAAATATCCTGTGTGAATAGCTGAAGGTTAGGTCCCTGTGATCAACTGGCTGAAAAGTTATTCCACCTTTTTAGATTGAAAGTTGATCTGCATGTAAAACTGTAATGTGTGAGTGAAACCCATCTTTAAAG